AAATATGTATAAAAATGATATGGTCAAAATACTCACTTGCCTAATAATTGTGCACACGGTGTATACTGCAGTCCTCCAGAAGGTCAAGATGCAGCCCCTGAACTCTCATAGGAAAGAAAATTAAGAAGGCATTCTAGTTGAATGTTCCAACTATCATGATGCCTCTCCCTTAATCCTCATTTATCTATTTCTTATAAAATGCTTCATTTTTGCACTGTCAGCTGCATTAAGGCGCTCTCATATAAATTAAATAGTACTGCTGGGTCATATCAGCTACAAATCTAATGTTAGGAATTACTGTGTTTACTTAAAAGAAAGGCAACCTTGAATTCGAGACCCCATTTCCTGCCAAAGGATTAGACAAAGAAAAAGTTACAAAAACAGAAAAATTCCTGTGCAATGCCCCATCTTACCAATATAGCATTGCTAATTCTAACTGAAACCATTCCTGGAGCTTTATATTATATGCACGGAAGGATCATATGACTCCTTATCTATCATGCAATAGTCACTAGTCTAAAATAATCTGTTTTATCGGACTCAAGAAAATCAATGCAATTACATGAGGTTACAAAATGGAAGTTGATTTCATAGCCACAGAAGTTCCACAAACCCTTTAAAAAAACTGTAGCAATTACTAATTTACTAGCTCTCATTTTTAACAAGTACCTTCCTATGAATCCCAGCAATTTCTGTTTGACAATAATGCAGTTGTGTCTTTATACCATATGTATATTTTGTAATCCATGCTATCAATTATATATGCATATTTTATACAGCTATGCAGGCTTTGGATTCAAAGACAAAAAGGCACTTTCGAGTACAGGAATGCAAACACAGCACCTATTTCCAACACCTTAAAGCAGTTGCATTGTTTCCTGGGGTTGTGTGCCAATTACTATGCAATACCAGGAAAACAGGTCCTTGGTTAAGGAGTTGCAGGCAGATGCTAAGTGCTATGACAAATCTTTTTGCTTTCAAATCTGAAGTTATACACAGCCCTAACATTTTGATGCACATTATCTTTTACTGTTCTAATCAAAAAGGGTATACCAGAGTCAGTGGCAAGGTCTGGGGAAACTGTATCTCAGAACGAAATGCGTAATTAAATATTGAAACTAATTCCTATACACACTATTTATAAGGATGGCCACTACAAATAATCTGTAGCTTCTGCAGAAGCTCCTCAATCACTAAAAATACATACAGTATGGAATAAAGATTCTACAAGCTATCATACCTTCTATAAAGTCTGGTCCAGAATACAGCTGTACAAGTAACAGTCCAGGCCTTTTTGCAAATTAGAGAAAAATTCACAGTGTCTTCTGGGCGTATATAGGATGCCAACATCAACCATATATCAATTGGATATTCTTTGCCTACCACACTATCAGAGTTTTCTGAAATCAAAAACAAGCAGTTGGCCATGCTTCAAGAAGTAAGAAAGTGGCATGACTTTATTTGAAGAGATAAAAGAAGTATTTTATTGTGAAAGTGAAATTACACTAAAGTAACAGTTAAAACAACAGACCTTACCTTTAAGCCTTTTGCTTTTCTTTTTTCTATCAGTCATGAAATATTCATCAGTGGTGAAATATTTAGAATCCATTTCATCACCACTGTCATAGGACTCTGCCACAGATAGTATTTCATCAGTAGGTACAAAAGATGCTTCCAAACCACAGAGTGATTTCACTAGAATCATAAATAAATTGAAGAACTTGAGATACAAGAATTAGCAGATGTCCTAGAATCAAGGGTGTAGATTAAATTCATGTTGATAATCCAAACTACCAGACAAGAAACAATTGGAAAAATAGGAAGATCCAAACACAAATTTCTTTTGAGGCCAGTAGGTACAAAGAAAGGTGTTGAGATCATATTGTCATCCTGATTGTCATGTGGGACAATATGCATTCCATTATGTGAAAGACAATCTTTTTGTCTATTATTACATGGTTTTTGTGGTGAGGAAGCCTCCAGTTGCTTGAAATGACCTGGTGGCATGACCTGCATTAAGAAAGTTGCAGTTACGATTCCCCTAAGAAGGAAAGTTTCACACAAAAGAGGGTGAAGGACTGGAAAGTTATCCTAAGAACCAGACAAGTTAAGGTAGGGACACATGATCTGAACAAAGATTACAGAATAAGCACTGGTTTATAAGAAATGTAAAGAAAAACTAGGCAGATGAGGCTTGAAAAAGAGAGGCGACAAAAAATCTGAGTTCTGAAAGAAACCCAAGACAGGTTAATTACAATGGGACCAAAGGAGTGTGTTAGGAAAGCGAGCGAATAGACATTCTGCTAGAGGAAGTGGGAAAAGAGGCAGTGACTTGCAAAACAAGCATCTTGAATCAGTGGATAGGAGAGACATGCAGCTGGATAGAGGATCAAGAAGGATGTTAGACTGGGAGAAGGAAGAAACCAAATATAGTGACTTACACTAGCTGAATTAGCTAGTGATTTGCACTAGCCAATTATTTAGATAGAGGGTAGCTGAAAAATCCTGTAACAGTAGTCCTAACATTTTGATATCTATCATCTTTTTTCTAGATTAAGATTATGGGTAGACTTCCATTTTTCTACAGTGATCTACAGTGGTCAGGGCTTCCAATGTTAACAGCCTAGGGTTTTTGTTTTGTTTGACCACTACAACTCTAAAATCAACATATTTCTAGAGAAGAGGCTGAGGTCTGACATGAAAACTCCCATCATTTAAACAGAGTAGAAATATAGGGACAGAAAGTTATCATATACTGCAGCATTAAGAGCCGGTGTTATTTTAAAGATGTCCATATTATCTTTCATAATTTTTAAAATAATTTTATTAAAAGTTTTAAAAATGAAAGTAAAAACTAATACAAATTAATATAAAGTAAGGAAGAAAAAAGAAAAAGAAATCAAAGAGAAAGCTAAAAGTGCAAGAAAGAAAAAGAAAAATAGAAAGGAAAGAAAAAAGATACAAAGAAGTTGCTTCCGATCTTCTTTACAGCAGTTATAAGTACAATCATAAATTTACCTCTCTCTCTCTAAAGTTACATCATGACTCTCTTCTTTCTATAATCTATCCTGTCTAATCATC